TCTACGTACTCTGCAGAAGTATCTCCCTTTTCTCCTGTCCTGAACCTTCTGCCCAACAGCTTCACTATGTGCCCTGATCCCATCTGGGCAGGAGGCTCCCTTACCGCTTGACAGGGCATCTTGGGCATGCTCCTGGGCCTGCGCCCTCTGACCTTCCTCTGACGGAGCTCCTTCTGCCTCAGAGAATTTTGCTTCCACCTTCAGGGATCTTCCCCACATCTGCAACAACAGGAAGGGAGAGGGGTAAGAGGAGGAATGGAACAAGCTGAAGAGATGGATCCTGACCCACTCCCAGACTCCTCATCCCTGACTCCTCCACCATCAGAGCCGCTTTAACCACAGGGGCGAGAACCAGGGTTGGGGTTTCTTCCCAGCCTAGTGTATGATCTAGAGGTAGAAATATTGAAGAAAAGATGGGAACAATACACTGAAGAATTATTTAAAAAGAGATGAATGGAGGACACATTCCTTTTAAGAAGAATCTTTTGAAGAAGAAGGTAAGAGTTTTAGAAAGCAAAGCTGCACTGAGAACAACTGGGAGAAACAAATCACCTGGAGTAGGTGAGATATCAGTAGAGCTATTCCAAGCCACAGAAAAGTAATCCATCAAAACCTTAACATGATTATGTTAGCAAAGACGGAAAACAAAACAGTGGCCCACAGACTGGAAACGCTCACTTTACATTCCAGTTCTGAAAAATGGAGACTTAAAAGACTGTAACAACTATCAGACCATTGCATTAATTTCTCATGCAAATAAAGTGATGCTCAGCATTTTACAAAAAGTCCCTGACCTGGATAGCCCAGGCAAACCCGATCTCATCAGATCTCAGAAGCTAAGCAGGGTTGACTCTGGCAAGTACTTGGATGGGGAGACTTCCTTGAAAAACCAGCCACCTCTCTGAATATCCTCCAGGCCCCCAGTAAGGGTCCGTCACCAGAGGTCGCCATGACTCCTGGTGCACACATAAACACACACACATACACACACATATAAAATGCAATTTTTAAAAAATTACAAAAATTTCCTAGCTTACATTCCCACTTTTGACTGTGGGGATCAAGAAAAGCTATGGTTGATTTTAAAAGAAATGGGGGTGCCACAATCAATGTTCCCTCTAAGCTGTGGAGTCTTGTGAGCAAAAATTCTACTTGGTGAGCGACTGGCATTAGAGTTGTGAGCGAGTGATTTGGCCACTGCATAAATTAATTTCCTCTGGAGCCATCCCTTCCTGAGCTAAGACAAAAATGTGTGAGCCAGAGGCTAAAAAACTGTGAGCTAGCTCACACTAACTCAGCTTAGAGGGAACACTGGCCACAACATCCAATTGTTTTGATGAACAACCTGTACTCCCTGTACTCTGGCCGCAAGAGGCCACTGTTAGGCCAAAATATGAAGAAACAGAAATCTTTCCAATTGGCAAGGGTGTCAGGTTAGGATGTATTCTATCTCCCTGTCTCTTCTATCTATATGCAGAACGTGTCATAAGGAATACTGGATTAGATTTACATGAAGGTGGAGTGAAAACTGCTGGAAGAACATTAATAAACTGAGATAGGCAGATGACACCACTCTTCCAGGAGAGATCATGGCCCTGCGGGATCTGGTACAATTCCACAAAGATTGCAAAACAGAGTTGTTTTGCCAGGCCTATGGTTGAAGGTAGTATTGGGTGCCTAGCCCAAATTCTATTTCGTAGTTTATTGACTGTACCATCCTATTGATTGCGTTGAGTGACATTAAATGGCAGACTATACTTAATGTAGATTCAGGCAGGTAGC